CACCAGTGTACACACACCCAAACCACACACGAGATGATCAGCTTTACTTTAGATTTTTTCGAAATTAATTGCAGGGTCGCTTAGGGTTGCTTAGAAAATCGAGGGAAACCCCCACAAAAACCAAATCCAATTCAGACGCTTGCATATAGCCCTAAAAATATATAAAACAAAAAAATTATATACAAGATACATTAACAAGCAATACCGCAATAACGAGCGTATTATTTTTCTAAGTTACTAGAAAACGAAATAATATTATATATCAGACGATCCACTCAATTACATGCGTATATAATGCCAGCATTATGTACACTATAAATATAAATGTTTTTTGGCGGATTGCAGAAATGAAGACGATGATAACGACGAGGGCAAATTGTTTACATTTCACTTTTAAAACCACATTTAATACTAATAATTCGAAAAAGCTAATTAAAATAAGTTATAACAAAATAACGAACAGCAAGAAGAACAAGCAAAGAACAGCAAAAAACAACACAGCTAAAATACTGAAAAATTATATAAAAATACAAACTCTTATCTTTCAACCAAAAATCAAACAAACATTGAAGTTTTTTTTAAGGTAACCACAAGTAAGTAAAATTAACAAACGGAAATGCGATTCAATAGTTTAATAATGTTTATCATTCCGGCAGTTTTTCAGATGATAATATTGAAATTACTGCAGCTTTTAGTTCCAAAAAATCAAACAAAACTAATTTAAAGTGAATTATTTGAAATAAAATTAATGAAGTATTTAAATTGTTTCATTTTATATATAATTATATAGACATTCTACGCCCATGTCTGATAAAATTATATACATATATTCTTGCTAGTGGATTTCCTCTATGTACATATCAATGTAGGCATTTCCGGGAATTCATCGGATTCTTGCTCTTCGCATTTTTTAACCTTATCCATGTTTTGTATCCTTTTATTTTTTTATTAGAATATAAATCCATATCTATACAAAATTCATTTGAAGCAGGGAATACTTGGCAATTGCCAATTTTTAGCCGTATAAGCCTTTTTCTTTTTTATATCATTTGTCTATTTTCATTAGAATTTAAATCCATATCTATTCAAATTCTTTTGAAGCAGTGATTGCCTGGCTTTTGCCCATTCTTAGCATTATAAGCCTTATCCATTATTATTATTAATTTTTTATTTATTATTTTTTAATATCCTTTCCCTAATGTCTTCAGAATTTAAATCCATATATTTTCAAATTCTTTTATAGCATTGAATGCCTGGCTTTTGCCAATATACTTTTTCTATTTTTATTAGAATTTGAGTCCGCATCTATTTAAATTCTTTTGAAGCATGGCTTGCCTTATTATTTATTTATTATTCTTTAATATCCCTTTCATTAGGATTTAAATCCATATCTGTTCAAAACTCTTTTGAAGCAGTGATTGCCTTCCTTTTGCCAATACTAAGCATTCTAAGCCTTTAAAGGTGATAGCACAAAGAAATCTTCAGGAGCAGCTGCAACTCAACCTCTCTTCACAGAGGAGAATCTTTTCGAAGCCTTTCCCGTGGTTTAATTACTAGGGATCCTTTTGATCCACCTCCAGCACTGAGGCTAATTTTTCTGAGGGCCTTCGGGAAGTTACGGATCAGAAGCAAGGGACCACAACTCAGGACTGCACATCGGTTTATCGTGAAAACTCATCCCACCGGCAAAGGGATTCTTTCAGGCACAGCTATCGTACATTTAACTCATGTTGCAGGAAGAGATCCTACCAAAATGAGCAATAGTTTTAAAGTCAACAGTATCAATATGAATTCCAGCAACATTATCACTATCATCACCATCAACACAGTCCCCGAAATGTCTTTAAGACTGATCCAGAGGAATTTTATGCTTCCATTAAAGATAATGAATTATTTTAACTTAATAAAACAGAAGACGTATTTAAAACATTTAAAAATGGTACTATTTCCTAGGTGTTGATATCAATCAGATGGTAAATTCTAAATATAGGTTTTAACAAAAACCCAGACTGAAAATCCTCTGGACATTAAACTTGTTTATTGATTTGGGATTGGATGCACACAACGAAATACTTGTCTCGAAAATATAACAGGAGTGCTTCAACATTTTCAAAGTCGCTAACGGAGAACACTAACTTCTTAAACAAAATAAAATAAATATTTTCGATTAAATCAAGTCACACCCAGGAAATCGCCACATCGTCTTTTTTTTCAATGTTAATAATTTGAAGATAGAAAAGAATTTGACGGGGACTTACTAAAGGCAATGGAGGTAGAAGGGGCTTCACAACACCTTGCTTCATCGTGAAAACTCATCCCACCGGCAAAGGGATTCTTTCAGGCACAGCTATCGTACATTTAACTCATGTTGCAGGAAGAGATCTTACCAAAATGAGCAATAGTTTTAAAGTCAACAGTATCAATATGAATTCCAGCAACAACATTATCACTATCATCACCATCAACACAGCCCCCGAAATGTCTTTAAAACTGATCCAGAGGAGGAATTTTATGCTTTCATTAAAGATAATGAATTTCACTTTAATTTAGCAAATTGGGAAAAATACAAGTTGGGGATGAATATTCCCAAATATCACGTTCCAAAAAATGGCAAATGATCCAGTGAGAAAATGTCCTTTAAAATATTTTAATGTGCAGTCGGGTTGAATTTTAAGGGTAACATAAGATCCTCTTTTATTTTAACTTAATAAAACAGAAGAAGTATTTAAAACATTTAAAAATGGTACTATTTCCTAGGTGTTGATATCAATGAGAAGGTAAATTCCAAATATGGTTTTAAACAAAAACCCAGACTGAAAATCCTCTGGACATTAAAATTGTTTATTCATTTGGGATTGCACACAATGAAATACTTGTCTAGAAAATATAACAGAGTGCTTCAACATTTTCGAAGTCACTGACGAAGAACACCATCTTTTAAAAAAAAAAAAAAAAAAAATGGTTCCCATAAAAATAAGTCACACCCAGGAAATGGACATATCGTTTTTTCTTCCACTTTTTTCGCGGGATATACCACCATTTTTATATTTAATGGTGGTCCCCGAGGCTTTCGTGTTTGCCAGGATGAACATAATGCACCGATGGGATAATTCTAAACAATAAGAATTTTTTTGAACAGATTCAATAAATTGCTCCTTAGGTCTAGTAGTACACTTCATGCTGGTGGCAGCCCTGAGGCAGATTTAAATTTACGGAATGTCGCAATGTTAATAATTTGAAGATAAAGAAGAATTTGTACAAACAATCCGGTGAACCCCCGGGATTTCCGTCGTTCACGGATACGTTGTGGCTGCGCAGCTCCTCGGCTGTGGCATGTTGCAACTTCGAATATTGGAAACAAAGCTTCAGGAGCACCTCCAATTCAACCTCTATTCCCAGAGGAGAATCTTTTCGAAGCCTTTGACGGGGACTTAATAAAGGCAATAGAGGCAGAAGGGGCTTCACAACACCTTGCAAGAAGAGAATTTACCAAAACGAGCTAATAGATTCAAAGTCAACAGTATCAATATGAATCCCAGCAACAGCATTGTCATTATCATCACCATCAACTCAGCCCCCGAAATGCCTTTAATGCTTCCCTTAAAGATAATGAATTAAACTTTAATTAAGCAATCTTTTCCTAAATGTTAACTACTGAATATTATTAAAACATTATTTTAGGAAACAATTAATATATTATATTTATATTTATATATTTTAGTTGTTACATTTTTTTTGTCGAAGTCTGAAAACTTCAAATAAATTGTATAGTTCCTTTCTGCTTATTAAATAATTTTTACGGAACTTAAACAGATATACTACTTGTCAAGAAACCAAAATAAAAATGTATTTATTATTTTGACAAGTAGTATATTTGTTATATAATATATTTATTTTTTATACAATAGCCAAAATAAACTGCAGGTAACCGAGTGCCCCGTGCCGCCAGGGGGTTTTGTGCCTCCTCTCGTTATATGACGGGAATTCACCGGATTCTTCGCTTCGGTGTGGCTTTGCCCACTTTGACAAATTTCTTTTATGCCACAACTTGGCGGAGCACCTCGAAAAAGTAATCCATTATCCGCCAGGAAAACTACATTTATACATTTTTATTTTTGGTAGTTACTAAAAGAAACCGAAATAAGTGTGAGGAGTTGCTCCTTAACCATTTCCTGAATTTACAGCTTTCAAATTCTTGTGTTATTGAAACAAATTGATATTTAATGATTCATTACATTACATTTTAATTCATTAAATGTCTAGTGCCGGCGTATTGGATCGGTATTGTCATTTTCTGGGATAGCCTTTTATTTTAACTCCGAATTCAGAAATTCTACAAAGGCTACTGAAAATAAAAAGTTGCATTGGCGGAACGACACACTAAGAAACACTGCTTTAAATACTTATTTAATTTATTCATAAAAGACAGTAGAATACTAATTTAATAAACAAAGCTTTAATATATATTCAATAAATTATAAAATATTAGGCAAAAATGAATTAATACCAATGGAACTTAAACTGTATGCAATTTTGCAATTCTTTTTTTTTAAATAAATAATAAATTAAACAAACAATTTCTCCCTTTATATAAGACGGTAGAATACTAATTAAATAAATAATGCTTTAATATATAATCAATAAATTACAAAATATCAGGCAAAAATTATTTAATACCTATGGAGTTTAAACTGTATGCAATTTGGTAGCCGCTTATTTTTTATTAAATAATAAATGAAACAAGCAATTTCTACCTTTTATATATTTCCTGTGCAATTAAAGTTGCCAAATAAATCACATTTATCGTGTTAATAAATTCAAAATCAAATTGGATTTAAAATAACGGTATTCGGATGTGTTCCCTATGTTGGTCACACTGAATCTATTTTCGAAAAATGACTGAATTAGAGCTGAGCAAATATCGATACCTGCGATTAATCGATGTTACATCCGCTATCGATAAGCTGATACCCTCACGTATTTTTCACATCCCTAATAATTTTTTGTTTCTTCTGTTGTTATTGTCAATTTTCGCGTCGCCATCCCGGGCCCGTGGAGGCGAATCTTCCAAGAAACGGAGTCATCGAACCACTGGATGTCCCCCTGCCCGCCTGCCCTGGCATCAATCTTCGTATCCGGACGGATGAGCAGTTTTAGCCAAGTGCGTGTTTTCTCAACTCCACACCAAAAAGGATCGGCGAGTTTCCGATTTGGAACAGCAATTGGAGCCCCTGGCCATGAAGAAGGGCTCGGCGGGGTCCAAGAGACCCTATGCGGCCCACAACGGATCGGAGGAGGATCAGGCGAAGCGCAAGGAGCGGCAGCAGCAGCCAGTGAAGGCGGGGGAAGCGCTGCCTGCCAAGGAATGTGAGTACAAACCGACCGATACATGTGCTCATTCCCACACATACGCGAGTACACACTCACAGGATGTGCCAGTGTGTGATGTTACTTCATTTAGTTTGATTTTAACAATGATAAAAATCAAATAAACATGTTAAATTAATAACAAACAATTAATGTTTGGCCAAGCTTTAATTATATTTCAACAAAGTCAAGATTAAATGCTTAGTGCTGCTAATTACTTATTAATATCTATTGAAATCAAGTATATAAGAGAATATATAGTTTATTTTATTTAAAAAATTATTACCTTTCCTCTCCCTTTTCAGCTGCAGTGAAGAAAGAGCCCTCCGTTAAGGCTGAGCCCGTTGTTAAGGATGAACCCATCAAGGCCACCGCCTCATCCATTCCGGCAATTGATAAACTGCGTCGCTTCTGCTTCATTGGCTCGACGGATGCCCCCGTTTATACCATTCCCACTCTGGACGTCATCGTGGAAAGCAGTTATGCCGCGCTGCAGGATCTCTGCGGCCAGGTGAGCGAGTCCGAGCTGGTGGAGTGCCTGGCAAGCGTTTTGGGCAGCGGACCGAATGCAGAGCATCTGCCGCGTGCGGACGAGCCGCTCCTTATTCTGGCCGTCTTCCTCAGCACGCACGGTGACTTTAAGCAGCGAAAAATTGTGCGCAATAAGTTTGCCGATCTTGTAGCCGACGAAAAAGAACTGCTGCTCTTCGTCCAGCTGGTGAAGAGGCTGCAAAAGGTGCTGGACAGGAAGACACCCTTTAATCGCACCGTGCGCAAGGCGGTCCTCGGATGGTATGGCAAGCAATCTTTGGATAAACTGCTGCATTTGTGGTCTGTGGGAGACGCGGCCCGGTGGTCGATGCATCGCGATCTGCTCCATCGCTGTCACTTCCAGGACGAGGACTTTCGGCCGGAGATTATGGCTGCACTGAAGCTACTTTCCTCGTCACCCAGCGAGCTCTCAAAGTGGCCCAGCTTCCTGAGTCCCCTGGCCAGTTGTCGACCGATTATTGAGGGTGTTGTCAGACTGCGACTTCTGCAGGATTCCCACGAAGCTCTGCCCATTGTGAAGAAGCTGGCGTTGAGCTGGGAACATGTCCCACTTCACCTGCTGAACGACCCCGGTCTCTCTAAGTTTCTGCTGCCACGGATGAGCTACGACCAGATCTTGGAGAGCTGGACACGCTTGTCGCGACGCCATCGCCATGTGCGTCCCCTTGAGGAGCAACTGAAGGACGAGAAGAGGCTGAAGGCGGGAAATGTGGTGCCGGTGCGACTGCTGCTGGAGGACATGCGAGTGAGGAAGCCCAAGAAGGTGGTGAGTTTGGGAAAAGTTACTTTATAAATCAAAGATTTGTTTAGTTAAATAATTAATTGATAATCAAGGGACAAATCCATGCGAGCGCCAGCTTTCTGCATAGCGTATATGAGAGATCCTTTGGCCTGAACAAGGCGCTGGGCCGCCGTTTGCACATTACCCTTAATCTGGAGCAGTGCTACATGGGCAGTAAGTGTGGCGTTACTTCCATCACTTTTTCCTATAATTGAATTCCTACCTAGAAAACCTCTCCGGTCACTGTCGGTCACTCAAATACGTGGATGCCTTGGTGGCCCTGGCCTTTGGCTATTTTCGCAGCGATCCCAAGGTTACGGTGCAGTTCTGGCACGATCGCAGTGGCCAGCTAAAGACACTGCCTTGGACCACGGAGATGTCGTTGGCGGAGGCCACGGCCTGTTGCCAGAATCAGAAGGTAAGCAGTAGTCTTAAACTCTTTAGGCTGGTGTTTAATCGTTTGTTCGTCCGTTTACAGGTGCTGAAGATCAAGCAATCGCTGACAGACATCTTGGATCGGGCTCTGGAGGATGAGAAGAACACCTACGATGTGTTTCTGGTGCTGGTGCCGGGAGCAGGGCGCGGAAATCCGGGCAATAGTTCCAAGAAGTTGGCAACCCTGCTGGACGAGTATCGCGAGAAGCGGAGCTCCAATGCCAAGTGAGTATTAATTGCACTACCATTAGTTTGATTTGATTGCAATTTCTGGGATTCCCCAGATTCATTATGGTGACTCTGCGGCAGCACCATGGCTCCATGCGTTATGGCATGGAGCGCAACGAGAATCTGCTGGAGTTGTGCAGCCTGGACGAGCATACGCCGCGTCTGATCAACGCATTTGCTCGCAGAAAGTTCTACTAATCGTATTTGTTGAGGGACGATGGCCTCTTGTTCGTTGCCATCTGCCGTCTCACTCGCTTTCATAGACGCTAAGGTGCTAAGGTGCTCTCTTTCCCGCTCCCACAACCAAAACCCAGAACATTGCCCACCTCCTACCATCCAAAGTCATCCCAGCTCGCTCTCCCGTTCAAATAGCTTTCATGTAACATAGAGATCCTTGGTGTATAATCGAGCCAAAAACCTTAATTAGCATTAACTAAAGAATCATACTAATTACTGGGTAATTAATTATGGCTAGTTAGATATTTTGAACAGGCTCGTTTTTGTATTCGTATTTTTTTACTCGATTTGGTGGATTTATATTTTTTGAAATCGAAACTGAATCAACTGAACTGAACTCAATCTAAATTCAATTTGGATTAAAAACAATCTCAAAAAGCAAAAGCAAGCAACAAAAAGCAAAAAAGATACAAAAAACCGAAGCAACAAAAACAAAAAAAAAAAAAAAGAAAAGAACAACAAACAAATTGCCTTACAAACAAAAAATGTTAGTAAAACTTTCATTTTAGTTGATGACTTTTTCAAAATCGAATCGAAACTGGAACTGAAACTGAAATACAAAACAAATTATGATGGCATTTAGATAAAGTTAAAGTTAAATGTGTAAACTAACGTAAAAACAAACAAAAAAAAAAACATATTGAATATTAATCGTAAACGTAATAAATAATAGTCCAAGGTCGCAAGCAATAATCACCAATCACGTAAAGCAAATCAAAAGTTATAGCCTCTGATCGGTCATATATAACTATCACGTTGTGTGCTCGATTAGAATCGAATTAAATTAGCTAAATAGTCTGAACGCGTACAAGGAAAACGAAGGAAAAGTATTTAGAATCCAAAAAGGAAATGGAAAAACTCCCAATGTGCCATACACACACACACACACACACCCATAAACACACACACTCACTCTCACTCGATCAGTATGTATTTATTAAGATTGTGAAACCGAAAACCATACAGAGAGAACAATAACGACGAGTAAAAACGCGCAACCAATTTGACTTGAGGAATTAGTTAAGTGAAATTATACTCAGATTAAAATTAAATTACATTTACACTTGTATAGAGGAATGCAAAAACTGATAACTGAAAAACCGGAAACCGGCAAACCGAAATAGGAGAAAAACGTAAAATTTTACCTAACCGAAAATGAAAAAAATGATATGGGAGAAAAACGAAAAATAGAAAATATTTCTACGGGCATTTCTAACCAAAATGTTTCCAAAACACACGCGTCTGTGAAGTAAACCGTTGTGATCGCTTTAAATTTTTGATTTAAACAAATACAAAAAACAAAAAAATCGTAAATACAAAACTACAAAACTACATACAGAAATCAAGAACAGCAAACAGGAAGCTATAAGTTATTCTATATATAGTTTGTGAGCGTAACCGAAAAGTACCTATACCACAAAAGCAACAACTAAAAATTAAACAAATCAAAGTGAAAAAAAGCAAACAAACGGCACACAAATCAAGCAAATAAAACAAAAAACAAAAATCTACACAAACTAACCCGCGCTGCCTGGAAGTAAATCAAGAATTAAGTTGGACCGAAGGATCAGGAAAGGCTGGAAGGAAGGAACTACGGACTACCGCAGAATAGCATACACTTTACACTAACCTCAGCTTGATTTTAATTAATTGTTACTTATCCTAAGACCCATTTGTAAACTCTCTTTGAAAGAGATTAGAAAACCAAAAGCAGCCAGGAGATATATAAATATCTCATTTTCCTAATTTAAAGAGGTCTGCCTCGTATTATTTCATTTACTAATTATTCCTAGCCTAAGTTTTCGAAGAAATAGATTAAGCAAGAAAAACTACTGTGGTCCGATTTGGAATATCCCTACGAATATGAATTTAACCATTCCAAATTGATTATAATTTTTATTTTATATACTCGATAATTTTTATGTTAAGATTGTAAAGTGTATTCCAAAAACAGAAACTCAAACCAAACCGTTGACCGTCAAGTTACAGAGAAAGTTGAAAGCAAGTTAAACAATAACAAAAAACAGAACAAAACAAAATATGTAATGCCAAGGAAACACATACACATACATTTCAGTTAGGGAAAATTTAAATTTAAAACGAGCATAAGGAAAATTATTGTTGTTGATCAAATCAAATCAATTTAACCGAAACTATAAAGCTAAACTGAAATCGACTCGAAACAAAACGAAACGAAACGAATTGAATTAAATCCGTAGTAAAGCAGCAACAAGAAGCAAAACATCATGTGATATCTATTTCAAAATAAATCAATTGACAAAAAACAAAAAAATCGAAAGAAAGGAAACCCTAACCATAAAACCGATGCAGAAGCAGAATATAGTAAAATTAGCCTAAAGCCACGAAGCGTTCAGAAAAAGAAACAAACAATGTTTTGAAGTTGAAAAACGATGATGATGAAGATGAAGATTTTGTATAATTTCCCGTTGGAAGAGTTACTTAAGAACCCGTACCACAGACCGACCCATTGAGTATTACGTACAAATTAAACACACACAACATCAGAATACATGGCTCGACTTTGACTCTCTATCTCGCTCTCTCTCTCTATTTATCACTTATCTCTATCCTTCTCACACACTCACTCTGTAGCCACTTCTCTGTCCTGTCGTAGAGTTAGTCGAAATTCGGATTGTACGCGCAGTCTCCAAAAAAAAACAAAAACAAAAAAAAACGATCGAAAATCCTTGCTAACGTATTCCAGAAGGTTTTTTATAAGCATATACATATACGTATACATACTTCTTATACACTAATCTAGGCTAAAGTTCAATAAATTCTGAATGATTCGAACAGCACGATCAAATTGCATTTATTGGGTAATGAGAGTGGGGTTCTTAAATAATTTATGCTCCTTTCCCTCTTTATCTTTTTCCTTTCTGTCAACTATAAATTATTTTAATACAATTCTTTCTTCTGAGTTTTAAAATATGTATTACTTTTTAAATTTATTAACATTTACAGCTCTTTCCTGATAAAATATGTTCTGTTTTTTTTTTCCTTTTTGATTTAGATGAAGCCTTTCTTTGGTTCTGATATTGTGTAAGGTGAATCTTTATTTCCGTTTCCGTTGTGCTTCCACTTCTGTTTCCGCTTCCTTGCTACGAACAGCACGATCAAATTGCATTTTTTGGGTTATGAGAGTGGGGTTTCTGAGTAATCTGTGATCCTTTTAACTACAAATTATTTTAACACTATTCTTTAATCTTAATTTTTAAATATTTATTACATTTTAAATTTATTAACATTTACATTTACAGCTCTTTCCTAATAATATATGAGCAGGATCCTGCTTTTCATTTCCCTTTTTGATTTAGATGAGGCCTTTCTTTGGTTCTGACATTGTGTAAGGTGAATCTTCATTTCCGTTTCCGTTGTGCTTCCACTTCCGTTTCCGCTTCCTTGCTACGAACAGCACGATCAAATTGCATTAATTGGGTAATGATTGTGAGGTTCTTAAATAAACGATTATCCTTTTAAGTGCAATTTATTTAAAAGACTATTCTTTAATCTTAATTTTTAAATATTTATTACATTTTAAATTTATTAACATTTACAGCTCTTTCCTGATAAAATATGAGCAGGATCCTGCTTTTCATTTCCCTTTTTGATTTAGATGAGGCCTTTCTTTGGTTCTGACATTGTGTAAAGTGAATCTTCATTTCCGTTTCCGTTGTGCTTCCACTTCCGTTTCCGTTTCCATGCTACTTTCCTACTTATTCTCTGTGACTATTCCCGCTGGCCCGCACACATAAAGCTGTTGACGTTCCCGCTCCTTCAGAGGCTTAAAGCCAAGCTCATCGACAGGAATTCCGTATTGTTTAAGCTTGCATTCGTAAGTCTCCAGCAGGTCATCATGGGCCTTGCGAGCCTTCGCCACCTCGTATCGCAAATCCAAAATAACCTTATTCTTTTCATCAACAATATTGCCCACGCGCTCATCCAGGCACGTCAGTTTGTCGGCAAAGTTCGGAGCACAGGTGGCTATGGTCTCGTGCAGGACTATGCTGCGCTTCTCGTCCTCCCTCACCAGGGCGGCGATCTTTCTCTCCAAAAGGACATTCTTTAGGCCAGTCTTTTGCTGCAGCTCCACAATGACATCGTTGAAGCGTTCCTTGAGTCCCTCCCGTTCGGTGACCAGGGAATCGTTGCGCAGGATAAGTGTTTCCGCCTCCCAGGTGAGACCCTTGACCTTCTTCTCCAGCCGCGTATTGCGTATCTTGAGGCGACTCAACTGCTGCTTATCTCGTTCATAGAAGCCGAGCTTCCTGCGCAGCTCATTCAACTGAATGTTGGCCGACTCCAGAGGCTCCTTGAGGCGCCGGTTCTCCGCCGCTGTGTCTGCAGCAATTCTATCGGATCGCTCCGCCTGCTTCCTTAGATGCTCCAGCTGCTCCTTCATGCTGCCAATCAGTGCCAGATTATTGATGGTGATGTCATTGTAATAGTTCTTCATGTCGTTAAAGGCCAGATCGTGATGATCCTGCAGGTCCTTGATCTGCTGGTTCTTGCGCTCCTCCACTTCGAACATCTGGGTGCCATAGAATAGATCCAGCTTGGCCTTCTGTTCGATCATCTTCTCCTCGTGCAGCATCTCGTTGTCTTTCCGCTCACGCTCAAAGGTGATGCGCTGCTCCCTGGATCGAAAGCAGAAAGGATAATGATATATGTTCAAGGAAAATTAAGGTATACCCACAGTAGCTTCTCATTGAAATGGGCTTCCATTTGACGCATCTGCATCTCGGCCACCTCACTCCGCTCGCGGAGCATTCGCCGCAACTGGCGCTTATCCCGCTGCAGCTCCGCTTCCTGGATGGAATGATGCTCCTGGGCCAGCTTCAGTTGTGTCATCGCCTCCGCCCGCAGTTCACCCAATTTGTTGTGATTCTCGAACTGCAAGTGCTTCATCTGCTGCATCACATGTTTGGTATCAATGTCCGCCAGGTCCTGTGTGGCCTCAATCTCTTTGTCCTTTTGCTGCAGCTCAAAGCGGGTTTCATCTGCAGGGGGTCAGGGATCATTTATGAAAGAAATCTCTTAGGAATGCTGTGGAAAGGACTTACCCAACTGCTGACGCGTGATCTCCCAAAAGGTTCGGATCTTGTCCCGCTCCAACTGAAAGTAATTGCGCTCCTCCCTCTCCCGATCCATTTCCGCCTTCAGCCGAAGGGCAAAGGCCTCCAGCTGGTCACGGGTCATGGCCGAGGTGTCCACGCCATCGATAAGAACTGGAAGTGTAAATAGAGATTATAAATGTGATTAATTCCGCCTTAAAATCTACTTAAGTAAGTTATCCTATTCAAGTTATGTTCTAGCATTTTCTTTATTTAACTTAAGTTGACTTTGTTCTTATTTTGGCCAGTAAAGTGAGTGAGGAAGTGAAACTTGGGCTGCATTTTTGGGGTTCCCCCAGCTTTATGGCAATTTAATGAGAGCGGCACGCCTGGCTACCCCTTGGGGCAGTTCCGTTCCTGCCCCCCTACATTGCACCCCTTTTCTTGGCCAACGCCCGCATATGTGGCCCGGCAGCAGACCGTGTTGTAATTGTTTTCTGTAATTGGCATCGTGGACCGGCTGGTGCCAGGAGCCAGGAGCCAGGACTTGGACTAGCAGCAGGACTAGGACTAGGACTTCAACTAGAAATTACACGGAGATAAAAAACTACAAGGATACATTGGATTGGACTCCCAAAAAGACTTTAAGTGTGAGTTTAAGGTAATACTTATAGGTTTAATCGAAATAATTAATCAACAATGAATAGGAAAAACATATGATCCTTAAAATTTGTCTTATATTGACTATGTATTTCTCACAGTGCCTGCATAGAAACAATTACGTGCGTTAGATGTCGTAGGAAAGAGCGAAAGGACGTGGGAATCAGGAGAAACTGCAGTGAGCTCACTCGTGGAAATTAAGTGGACAGTTTGCCGTCCTGCCCAGTGGCCCCTCCCTCCTGCCCCCCTGGCCTGGCTATAGGAATTGCATCGCCCAGGACCTCTTCCTCCTTTCCATCCGTGCGGACCCGCTTCGCTCCTCACGCAGATTATCGTTATTTACTAATTGTTTTGCTTGGCCTTTTTAAATTGCCCTGAATGACCAATGTCCACCCATTCCCAGCTCCCCTTTGGCACCCTGCTGCCATTAATGTTCCGAAAATGAATTGCCAGGCAGTGGTCCCCATACCCATCCTTGCTCGCTTGTCTCCTTTTCGGAGAGGCTTTAACAACTGGCCAAATTTAAGAGGAGTTTATGGGGAAAAATATGGAATATTTTGGGACAATTTACATTCACTAGCTCAAGGTTTATTTTTTTGTATTGATTTTCAGGGAAAATTGTTTTAGTTTGCAAGGAAGTGTAGTTAAATTGTAAGTTAAGAAAATAGTATTTCTAGTTTGCAAAGTATTTTGATTAAGGATTTGAAAATATGTTGAAATAGGTAATATATTTTTACCTAGTTGAACTGTAATAATGGTGTAACATTTGCAAAAAAAAAAAAAATTAAAAAAATTAATTTAAAAATTAAATTATAAATATGGAAGTACAATTTAGAATGTTATGCATTCAATATAAACATTTAAAACATTTATTTTTAATTTAAAAGTGATTATTAGTAACTTTTATTATACAATAATTACTCTACTCTTAAAATATATATATATGATATATATTATAAAAAACTAATTTGAAATAGAATTACAAAAAGATTTTATATAAAATCTTCACTTACCTGGCATCTTTTTGCCCTTCTTGCCCTTTTTACCCTTTGGCGGCTGAAAGAAAAGGAGGATATTTTTTTAAATACAACTTATTGTTCAAAATATCAGTATCTAAAGTTATGTGGATAATCCGCTGATAAAACACATTACCAACGAGAAGAATCTCGGTGTCAAACTTGTCAAATATTTGACCGCAGATGAGCCCGAGACGGCTTCTTCTCCCTCAAGTGCCAGCAGAGAATGGAAGCCAAAGTTGCCCCAAAGAATTTCCACATTTGTCTATGCAAATTGGATTGGAGCTTTCTCAAGGGGGGGATGGAGGGGGAAAATGCGAAGGGAAAATGTTTGGTGTGGTGTTTGTAACTGGCGCAATTGTCGTCTGCCTGCCGGGCAAAACTATTTTTCGCACTTTAAATCCTTTAACAGCGCTTAATTCGATTCTCTTCTCACTCTTTTCGGATGGCTCGCCAAGTGGGAACCGGTGGGGAACTGCCATCGTCGCTTTAAATAATGTGATGGCGCGGCTTTCAAAACAATTTCGCAACAGCTGTTGGCTGTTGGCTGCTGGCTTATTGCATATTTTATGACTGCAAATTATTCAAAAATTTTCGAAGCCGCCTGCGCCCGGCGACCGCGCTTTTTTTTTTACCCATGTCCCTTCTCTCATGTCTGTCCAAAGGCGCAAAATACAAATATATACATAAATATATAAATAAATATGTAAAACAAAAACTAAGAAAAAATAAAAATAAAATAACAAGGAAAAGCGTAACGAAACAATGGCAACTATATATGTATGGGGCAGGTCTATACATAAACAAATGATCGAAAATAGACAACAAACGAGGGCAAGGCGAGGCAAGCTCTGAGGACTCCAGCTTGGCTGCCCCATAAATATACAGTGGAGATCCATTAAATGGGAGTTTTTCAAAGCGAAAGTAAAGCTTTGTTATGCTATAAAGTCATAGAAAATAAAATTAAAGGTCTTCTTAATACAAAATCATTCAAAACACGAAATAAAGCTAACTTTGGCACGCCGAAATTTGTATATCTTCATTAATTCGTCATTAATCTAAATTTAAAAAGCTCTTTTATGTTGGCTTGTTAGAGGATATCAGAATATAAGACTTTAATATTTAAAAAATTAAAAGATTGACGACTTTCTTATAATTTTTAATATATTATCTCTTGCAAATTTTTGAAAACCTTTGTTTGTTTTGTTTGTTTTGTTTTAGGTATAATGTTCCGCTGCTTTTTTCCTTATTAATTAAGATTTTAATTCCAAATTGAAATATATGGCTTCTGTGAATTCTAGGTCTAACATATTAAATCGATATTTTTATATTTTCGATAATTTTTTAGGTAAATCAACGTTTTTCAAATATCAAAATTAAGCCAAAAATGCATTAATTTTAATTTGGAAACCTTTTCCATGATAGTTTTTAAAGGACTAACAAATCTACATACTGAGTTTCGAAATTTAAAAAGCAAATTTTTTTTTTTTGCAAATTTTGAAAAATTTAACGATGTAACCCCTTATAAAATTTTTAAAATTTCGAACAAATTTTGTTTGCCTCCGGACATGGCTAGATTAACTCGGTTTTTGATGCTGATCAATAATATATAAGATCTATAGGGTCGGAAATGACTCCATCATTATTATTATTATTATGACAGAGGGAAATGGCTAGATCAATTCGGCTGTTAAAATGCATCCCCAAGCAGTAGTACAGTAATATGGAAACCGGATATATCTAACTTTAGCTCCACTGTACCCGCTATGCATACATTTACAGCGATGGCAGTATGCAATTGTGTTGTATATGCAGCAACAGCCTGGCTTGGCATGAAAAATTGAATGCAACTGAAGCTGAAAGGAGAACGGGAGCCGCACTCGGAGCCGGAAAATGGGAGCAAGAAGAAGAAGAAGCGGCAGGAGCAGAAGCAGTCAAAGTCAATGTGTCGTAAAAGGGGAAGAGGAAACGGAAGAGAGAAAGATGGCCCAAGCAGTGCACTGCTTGTTGATATGGCGGCTGCTGGCGCTGATTTAACAACTTATTACTCACCATTTTGGCGGCGTTTCTTCTCGCTGTTTCTTCTTATGTATGCTTTATTTCGAGACTTTCTAGGGTCAGGACCACTCCTCTTTGATTTTTCCCTGCAACTGAGCCGGTTCCTTGGCGTCCAAAACAAACGAAACAACAAACTTATCGATAAAGCAGTTGACAACGCGGTTGCCAGAGTTGCACGTGTGTGTGTGTTTAATGTAAGTGTGGAGTAATGCCAGGCAACCGCTTAAAGGTTAAACCGTTTTTTTTTCCGCGTTCCTCGTTCAATTTTTTTCTGGTCCGAGACCGGAAAATCTGGGGGAAATGTATACAGTTATCACCCGGGCTACTGAGGGGAAAATTTTTGAATACTGAAAGCATTTTTAATCGATGCGGGAAAGTCGCTGCTGTTTTATTTCTCACCGCAAGCTTTCATTTAAGAAAAACACATTTTTTGCATTTTTAATTTAATTGTAATACAATTTATAGTAGAAATAACATTTTTCATACATATATAGAGAAATAGTATTATATTTATATAATATATTTGAAGGCTAACAAGTAAAAGTATGTTCATTTCCTTGCAGGGTATAGTAATTTTAGTCCAGGAGTTTGCAACGTATAAAGTAATCGTAAAATATCGATTTAAAAAATTTAAATATTTTATGTCTCATTGTGAGCATAAGATGCAATTACAATATTAATTCATTCAAAATAAAATAATACCTAATTTTCAAAAAAAGGGTTTGCATTATAAGACTTAAAACATTTACAAAAATTTTCTTTTTCTAAATTATCCAAAAGAAAGATTCGCCTGCTGATGCTGATCAAGAAATATATGGTTTATAGGGTCGAAAATTATTCCTTCATGGCGTTGCAAGCTTCTGATTGAAATTATAATACCCTGTAAAGGGAATTAACATGAATACTTTTTGAGCTTAGTTAAGAAATGCAAGGGTATATAACCTTTGGCTTCCCTTAGTTTGCTTTCTTTCTTGTTTCTCCTGAAATTATTCGGTGCATTTTTTCTTTGAATTTTACTCACAGTTATTGCCAGACACTCTTAGGGAAAGCGTTTAATTCAATATGAGAAAATAAATTTAAATAAATCAAAAAAGGACGTATTTTTTATATTCTAAAATTCTTTGTTGAAATTAATTGAGACCATAAAAACCCTGTGACCTTTAAAAAGAAAAACCATTTTATTATATTGAAAATATTACAAGGTTAACTTGTGGTGATTATAATTATTTAAATATAATTTAAGGTAAAACCTTAAAATACGTTATTGACTTTAGAAATTTGAATAATAAATTGTGCTTTAATATATTTAAAATTACTAAATAGTATTAAAAATTTAAAACAACAGTAGTTGTCGAATATTTCTTAGAGCAGATTTATATCTTATGTTTACTTGTTTAAATTTAATTTATTTAGTATTGAGTACTTGAAGCGTGTTGTAACAGTAAAAGTGGTTTAGACTTTTAGTCGAAATTTAGAGATCTGTAAACTGAATTCCCTTTGAAAGGTGGTCTTAATTTCAGAAAGAGCCCGGCTAAAACCCAAAAAGCTGGTCCAGACTCTTATTCTCTTATCACTTGTCTACTGTCTACTGGCTTCCCTTCTTGCCTCCTTGCACTTGGTCGTCCTTTTGCATTTGGTTGTTCATTTGCCTGTTTGTTTGGCGGACTTTAAATGCCTGAAGCTATGGAGTTTCTGCTGCTGACTGGCTAATTTGATGATTAGAAATGCGATGAAATGCGCCACTGCAAGTACTCGAACAAGGAAGCTGCTGACAAGGATAAAGGATCCTGCTAAAATAAACAAAATAATAAGTTAGAAAACCCAAAACAAGCTCAAGACCATACCTATTTAATAGTTATAATTAAATTAATTTAAATTTATAGTTTTAGTATATATATAAATTTCTAAAATTTATTTTCATTCAAGAACATTCGTAGACTATAATTACCATCTTGTATTTGTTGGCAGAACAAGAGTGGCAATTTCCCTTGTGATTTGTCAGCGGAAATGCATTCTGCACTTTGGTTATTTATCTGCGTCTGAGTCCTGCCCAGTCAGGACCTAATTTGATGGTCTCTTGAATTACGATACTTGTGAATTGAGATTTCCGCTCCTTTTGCCTTGAAAATCTCGCTCGAATTAACTTTATTAGTCAATGCCTGAGACTTTATTCCCAGGGGCTGTGGCACCTATGGCTGGGAAAAACTTCAACTGGGGCATTTTCTCGCCTTAATTAAATGTACGGGAGGAATGAGGCAAGTGAAAATGGGAAATTCGGTGGTGGCATTGCGTTGTGTAAACAAAAGGAGGTGGACCATGGCCATATTGCTGACTTTCGGCGGCTCTCCGGTTAAATGCTTTAATTGAAATTAATAACCGCAGCCAGTTTTTGGCCAGTTGGTTGGAGAACCCCGTGGCTTTCGGTTGGAACAACATTTTGGGTCTCCGCCACAGACACCGAGAAATTCTCAATTGTTTTCATTAAAAGTCAATTTCTGATAGCGAAGATGCTGCGGCTGGTGCACAAGAAGAAAATGTGGTTGAGAAAATATTGTTGCTAAATTATATCAAAAAGTTAATAACAATTAAACAAAGTTATTAAAAGGTAATTGGTAAACCTGGTGACTTGATTTTTTATTCTAAAGATAAGGTAAACAAACTATTATCTTTGAATTTTGACTAAAATCTTTGGATAAACTATTTCATTATTTTAAAACAAAATTTGTAATTGGTTTTATTTCATAATTTCTAATAAAGGTTTTAGAATTCTGTTTTACTTTCAAGAAATACTGATTTATAGAATATTTTAAACTATTTCTAAACAATTAAGAGCTACCAAATTTAATTTCCGTGTATCTTCAACCCTTTTTCAACGCCTTTTTCCTTTGGCCTGCATAATTTTTGTTTCATTTTATTCTGGCCAACGGCTGCGGTCGGTCATGGCCCATTGAATTGCGTAACGGCTGCCAAGGGTCGTCGGCGAAGGGGGGAAGGGGTTCTGGAAAATGTCTGGGAGGGGGGTAAGCCAGGGAAAACCACTGATTGAAAGTGAAAGTATTTAAAATATGATTAGAAAATTTGCTTATCGAGGTTTCGAGGTGTGTGTGTGCGGCTCTTTAAGGAAAATTTGTTTAAGGGGAAAGGCATTTGATTTTAAAGAGGTATTAAATACATGTATCATTTAATAGAAAATATAAATATTAAATAGAATTATATTTACAATTAATATTTATAATATAAATTTTAAGAAATAGACATAATTATTTACCTGACGGCAGTCTTTACTCCATAAATATTAATTATGATTAGGTATTTGTTTTACAAAACTCTCCTAAAGAATTATTTATCACATTAAAAGTCTTAGATATTTTAAATCTAAGAATCTTAATATTTTTGTTTAAATATTCTAAAAAAATATAAACTATTTAAGATCTGAAATATAGGAAAAAATGTTGGAAAACCAGCAGTTTATTTTCCCAAAAAATGATTGCTTAATAGTGATAAATGTCAACTCGGGTGATGCAGCTGCAGACTAAATTGTGGTGTGTGGAAATTCGTAGAGTTTTCCAAAAGATAAGGGGGGGGGGGAGGAGGTTGGAAAAGCGAGGGTGGAGCCGGTGCAGTGCTCATTGCGGTGGCAAAAGTTATTTGCTGTGTTATTTTCACAACAACTTCCGCTCGGCGCAGAAACGGATATCCTGCGTTCTGAGTGAGAGATCCAGATATGAAAAGGGGCGGCAGCTGGGGGCTGGGGGCTGGGGGCGGGGCATAGTTGGAAAATTATTGTTGGTGCAGCTGGTCGGACGCCTTGTCTTGTCTGTTGTTAGTTTTCCTCTCCCCCAACCCCACCTCACCCCTTCGCCATATGCAGATTTTGCTTTTACAACTCTCTTGGATTCAAACTTTGACTTGTGCCCCCCAAAAAGCCTCCTCTCCCACGACCCTGGCAATTTAAACTTTCTGATTAATTTTAATAAATATATTTTTGTCCTTTATTTGTAGAATTTGTTCGTTTACCATAATATATATAGTATATATATATTTATATATATCTGTTGTTTTTGTATATATATGTTTTGGTTTATAATATAAGATATACTTTTAGTTTATGCGTTTTATGCTGGTTTATAGTACTATTATATATATATAATATGCCTATATATAGAGCTGCTTCTCTTCTCTTCTCATTTCTGTGGGGATTATCGAGAGGACTTTGATTAAGCTTCAGTTTTTTTTTTTTTGTTTTTTGGGTGAACATTCTGCAAATGGATCCGTACATCCATCCTACATATACATATTACATTTTATCGATATAGTATCGCTCTTTGTTGGCTATATACATCGTTTATTTTCAACTTGATGCGCCTTACTTATATACAATTCTTAGGCGTAGATTATTATTTCAAGTGCAACGAAGGGTAGAACTTATTTCGAGTACAATATTACACACATTTTTTATTATTTATGACAACTTTCAGCCACAACAAACAAAACTATATACAAAGATTGAGGAAAGTAGGTGAAAATATTATATTTTTTAGAACGATCAAAAAAAAAAGAAGGTATGTTTTTGCTATAACACTCCATTTATTTCATTCACTAATCTCTATAATATTCGTTTAGAATTTAGGTCTGCTAATAATGGCACATAATATTATTGTTTATCTGTGTGTGTTTGTGTTTTTACCTTTGATTTTTGATATAAGTACATGTACCATTTATAGAGATATATATATATATATATGTGTGTGTATGTGTAGAGATATATATATATATGTATATATCCTTCAAGCGACCGCTTAGCATATGAACAACCTTGAATGGAACCGAGTCCTATAAGCCTCAGATCCATCTGTATAACTATGTATAGTTTCTTCTATATGTCCTCGAGTATCTGTGTTAATAGTTTTTCCTTTTGGGTTTTTGTTTATATTTTTGTTTTATACAAATTTCCATTACGCACCGCCCCCAATTTGCTTGTTTTTTGCTTTATACATGAAACAAATACTATATTTATATACATATGCTTGTGTATGTTAGGGGGGGAGAAGGGGATGCTGCCTAGATTTGATTTTATTGTGGCCACATGCAACATGGGGCAGCACAGCACAAAGCGACCCTTAATTAAAATGCAACAAATGAACAAAACGAACAAAGGCGGCGTCTCCTGTCCCGTGCTGTCCTGGACAACTGTTGCTCCGCCCCGAGATGGACTCGAATAAAATTTTCAATTAAATCAATTCGAGCATGTGGCCAGAGGGTCCCTTCCTCAAGTGTCCTGCCTTAGCCTCAAGTGTGCCACACGCACGTAGATGGCTTGCAACCT